TGCCATCGCCGTGCGAATTTTCGCTTTACAGTTTTGGATTCATTCATAGTGTAGTTGAATTTCAAGTGAACTTGAAGTCATGGCTCAGTTTAGCTATGATGTAAAAATGTATCTGATCGCTCTTACAGGACAAGAGGTGGAGCGATCAGAGCTATCGAAACGGAACGCGTGGGCAGGCAGGTTATCGCAGTGACAGTCTCACTTGTTCAATTTCAACCCCAATTTAAATGTTGAGCTGCTAAGCTTATACTTGAGTTCCGTCTTAGCTTTTTGCGCTCGAGTGAGACCAAAAATGTAGTTAGAATTAGGGCAATAAGAAGTACTCGTAATTTTTCTTTATCTTTGCGATAAATTTCTATATAAATACGTGCAGATTCTAGGGTGGACAAATATGTTTCATGAAAACGGCATTGCATGGTAAATATTTTATTTAGAAAGAAATAATGACCGGTATTTCAAATTAAATTCTTATCCAGCAAGACAATTTTGCTGGGAAAAATTCCAATGACTGCTGGAGTTCACGAATCAAAAATGCTTAAAAAGTGATGATATCGTTGCTGGAAAACTGCTCAATACTCATATCATGATCGCGAGTGTACATAACGAATAAATATTCAGAATATTTCAGTATTTTGCAGAGCAACTTTTTTTTAATAAATTGTCAACAATCAGGCCGCGTTTAATAACCACACTTCAAAAGCAAGGGATGCACGGTAAAATATTTGAGGTATTTTTGCAATGCATAGTTAGCTGCTTAAATAATGATATTTTATCGCACCAGTTTCTATTAAGATCTGTGAGCTTTATTTCACAAAATTCGAATTTTATACTCGCTTCAGAAACTTAAAAAATTTCTGACACCATATTTGAAATCAAAAGGCTTATTGTTATAAAAAGGTTGTAATTTTCCGAAGGATTCCCTGTCCCGAAAAGGATTTTGGCGAGCCGCTGGATGCTGCTGTAGCTCCCAGCCATAACTAATCTATTGTCATTAACGCTCACTTCGCTGTTCCATATAATATTAAACTATTAAGTTTATTTTATTTCAAAGTTTCCATTAGAAAAACGGTATAATTTATGTCCTCAGTCTACTTATCTCGCTGAAAATATTTTTTTATGCCCTATATGCATAATGTCATACTCTTCTGCTTAATTTAGCGCTCTATCATAGTTATTATCTTTACTTTTTAATAGAGTGCCTGCACGCTGTTTTTTATTTTTGTTAATATTAACCAAAGACTCTTTTATTGTAAAGGAGTGTTCTTCTTTGGCGAAACATTGCAGCATTCTTGGGAAACATTGCATCATTCTTCTTCTGCGAAATTCTGGGTTCATTTCAATTAAGTCTATCTCACAAAACATGAATGTGCGAGGACGCCGATTTTCAATTGATGTCATTAGTCATATACTAACTTGGCGGTTGACTTGATAAATAATTTCACTTCATTAGTTGAGTAACATATTTCTTTACCAACACCACACACGGTCAAATCATTTTGAAATCTTTAACAAGCCATTTGGAAAGGCTTACAGTTGAATGCAGGATAAAACTATAAAGCATATGTTCAGTCTTAAAATGCCTAGCACATTACGGACCCGGCAATAAGTCCAGCAGCTATCTCAATCAATCGTCAGTTATGGAAAGATCGGGTTCCAAAGGCCGGATCCCTTGTGAATCAAATCACGAAAAGTACAATTAAGAATCGGCAACAGACCATATGGGCCTATTTCTTAAGTGCCGACACTTCTATTCTATTCTATATCATTTCGATGTCGCTTTGCCCTGTGCATTCAATTCAGGTTTAGCAATTCGTAGTCAAATTATTCGTTTATTTTGGTTACTGCCCGCTGAGTATATCTTGCTCGTTTTCTGGTAAGTAATTAATTTTTATTCTAGGCATTGAAACGCTTAGCTTGCTTTTTATTCTCAACAAAGCGGGCAGTGATGAACAGCTGAGCTTGGATTTATTTAAGAACCAGGTATGGTAGCAACAGAGCCCTTACCTTCTACAGAACCTTTAGTTCAAAGGGCAGTACTTCACCAAGCTTACGGGACTTGAAATATTTTCTTTCTATTGCCGAACTAGGAAGCTATTTTAGGTAGGAAACATGACTCATGCCTTGGGAAGCATGCATGGTAACCATAAACGATGAGCGGGACGATGATCGATGGAGTGCTTGCCGCTACCCAAGTGGTATGTGACCAGCGTTGAACTTGGTCACGTTAGAACTCCTTCACATGGACAACTGCTTGCTAATTTCAAAATTTTGCGTCCTGAACAAACATTTCGAAAACTTCCGTAAACAACTATCCGCGAGATCGCTATTAATTGAAGTGGACAGTTATTTTAATTTAACGTTAAAGCAAATGGTTTACATAACTGTTTCAACTCAGCAAGTGATAATTGTTCGGACTGACCAAGGAAGATAATTCATTGCATGGCTGCTGGTCGAGGTATGAGTCACAGCTCTCTGTTGCTAAGCATGTAGCATAGATTTGTGAATAAAAAAGTCGGTTATAATTTATTATGTGACGTGGTTCTTGCCAGGAGTTTTAGGAAGTGGAGACTTCGCTAGCACTTCCATGAACAAGAACTTTGTGTTGTGTTTAATAACCGCGTCGTACGGATTTCATTTTCAAGCTTGTTGCAAATATAATGCAAACTTCAATTAATTATATAATTATATTCATTCACTCGACTATATAATATGGCTCACACTAGCCATTGAGTTTGATGCTTCTTCGTCATCTACTTGCCATCGCCCACCGTAATCAGGTTACGGCACAAATGCTGTTCATCCTCCTCTTGCAATTGCCCACCGTATTCACGTTACGGCACAAATGCTGTTCATCATCCTCTTGCAATTGCCCACCGTATTCAGGTTACGGCACAAATCCTGTTCATCATCCTCTTGCACTTGCCCACCGTATTCAGGTTACGGCATTGGGCGAGGGCGCCTGCATGGGTTTACGGGGTCAGTCGGCGCTAAGGCCGTTAAGCTCGCGACGCCCCGAAGAGCAGCTTTTGATGTGCAGGTTTAACTGTTTTGTCATCGCCTCGAAGGAGTCGCGTGCGAGTTTATGAACACTTTAAGGTGAGGATAAGAGGATACATTCAGAGAAATAAGTGAAACTTTGTGCAAGTAACGGGGAACATTTTGCATTTGCTTTGTCATTCAGACCCAGTTTGGCACTGCAAAAATGCATATCAATGCTACGCCCGCTCTCTGGTCGTACTCTTCGTATGAAAGTGTGTCAATATTTGTCTCTGCATGTACTGTTGGTAAGAAAGTGTGTCAATATTTGTCTCTGCATGTACTGTTGGTAAGAAAGTGTGTCAATATTTGAACAATACGACCCATTTATATCTCTGAGTATAGGGGGAAGGAGTGCAGATCGACTCGACCTCGTCTGCTTGACAAGCCTGAAGCTGAGCAAACCTTGTGGGGCTTGTTGGCAAGATCGTAAAAGAAAGGTGGAGGCAGGGCTTCATGGTTACTGGGTGCAGCAGCACGAATCTCATGAGAATTGGCCTTCGTAAATCCACTTATACGAACTCGGGAGATTGGCCTCTAGGTCAACTGCTTGGTGAACATCGCTGTTTTCCCGTGTAAATTAATCTTCACTTCCATGTACAGATCCGCGGATATCATAACTTATATATTTTATTTCTAGTGATAATTGAATGGTGCGAGAGCTCGAAATGTCGGAAGTTTATTCTCCATGCACACCCCCGATGCATTTATGTTTATACGAACAGTGATGCGCGTCAGAGGTTATAGGCATAAATTTACTCTTCCTGTCTGCAAGAAACTCAAGCAAACAGACATCGGAGGCGTACGGCAGACACCCAGCAGACCTATAAATGGACTAAGAATAATTCTGTATAATCTGTCAGCATTGAGTGACGTCTGCCGACCCAGGCAATCGAAAGCACTTGCGCGGATGATGGGCGCATCGAACACGAGGCAGACGGAGGGAGTCTTTTGTGTCTGAAGAATAAATTGAATCGCAGCGACTGAAATTGCGCACGTGTTGACAGAAGCGTCTTGCATGAGTCGCGTTCACTGTGCGTGTAAAGAGTCAAGCAGTAGACACAGCAAGGAAGACGAGCCTCTCAAGCAGGATGAGGACTTGACCTAGACCTCCATCTCGTGTCAAAGAACAGCGCACTGTTCCCAAACAAACCTGCTGTCGCTCTCATGTCAAAACAAGACATCATTTGCAGCTTCTCTCTTGTTCATGATGTGCCGTGTATCATAAGCCTCAGGACCTAGAACTTCCCTGTTATTTCGTCTATTTAGCATTTATACTATCTAAACTATTATATTTATTGCATCTTCTAAATTAAATTGACCTCTTGTTGCTTAAGCTATCGAAGATCTGATGGCAATATATGCAATTTTTCTCAACCGAATTCCGTTAGCATGCTAAGGATCTAGTAGTTTCACTCATTGTAATATTGAGATACTTCTTTGGGTTAACGCGTAAGAAAAATAAAATGTCGAGCTTTATATGTAAACTATAATAAGAGTTTGGGTTTTTCTTACACCCTTGCACGTTCCCGTAGCACGGTGCTGGATTGTGAAATTTCATACTGTGGGGTAACTACGTAGATTACATTAAAGTGTGTCAGCACCTGCAGGAGAATAAGAATTACAGAGGAATTGCAATTAAAAAGAAATTTGAGAAAGGTGCCAAATAATTCGTTGTTCAATATTTTATATAGCGTAATGAAGATTATTCATTTCTTTATAGGGAAATTATGGTGTTCAAGCCTTTACCTATCATGCCTTCGTGCTTAGTATTTCTTGTGATCAGATTACTTTAATATTCGTGGAGTAGTGTTAATATATAACATCGTTATTTTAAACAATATTTTTAATACTCTTATTCCTGAATTCGTGCTAATTAAAATTTTGTAGTTTGTGGTTCTTGTGCATCTTTCTTGGAATATAAATGGCTCAAGAGAGTGAATAAATGTTTGTCATTTATTACATTTGCTTTACGAAAACTTTTTATTAAACAATATAAACTAAGACAATGGCATCAAAATAAACATACAAAAGCGCAGTTCAATTAATATACATTTTATCATAGCAATCTTCAGAAATCAAAATCATTTTACTAAGATATAAGAAAACACGGGTTCAAAGAGCTGGCTTGCAAATAAACCTCAGGTGGCTATACTAGTTCCTATACTCAAACATTCGCTAACCTCAAAATCCCATAAGGTTCACGTTTATAAAAACCTATTTATAAAAATAAACAAACTAACTGTAATGAATTAAAGAAGCTATATAGAACCAGCGCCCACACATGCTATCATTCATCATGAGTACCGTCCAACGACGCGCAAGGGCTGCTCAGCATTTAAGGCTCAGTTGCGGGAATACAGCTTCAATATTACCTTGACCATAGATGTACAGCAATAAACCTTTATTCTAAAGACAAAACAAGAAAATTCTAATTAATACCAGCTGCCGCGAAGCACCAGACATTCTATAAATTGACAGAGCCGTTCGTCGGAGACGTCCGAAAGAAGTTGATAACTCCCGACGGCGACTGTGGAGGTATAGCTTGGAGAAGTAGCATTCGCAATGATTGGTCACGAGGAGAGTTGTCGAAATAGTTAGCCATGGTAGACAATGCCCGCATCCAAACTTTTGCGTCCATTGCCAGGGAGCGATTGCTCGTTCACTCGATTGGCAGTGATTTTTCTGCTCTAGCTTCGTGATTCCTCATCTCACTCAACTACAACCAGATTTACCTGTAATATCCTGTGTGGGATCGAGGCCCACGTGGATTGTCAGAGCAAAGTGATTTATAACACCTGATAGGAGTTTGGGGAGAAGTCCGGTCACATGTTCAGGCGTGGTATTGTGGATCCAGCCAACGCGAATCACGGAAACGTACATTAAACTGCACCACACTCACATACATGTTCAATATTAAATAAATTTGATCCAACTTTGAAATTTTTATTTAGAACTGAAATAAAAAATAGTTTCTCGATAAAAATAATGGTTGGTTTTTATGATTACCCCTCTACCCTCTACTATCTTGCATTGCAGGTCGATTAGGCTGTTAATTTTTTTTTTTGTAATTCAGGTGACCCAGACGCCTTGGTGACCCTTATATATGACTGAACAATATGACGACAAGCAGCATAAGAAATACATTAAACACAAACGTGATTATGTTCTACAGTTTGTGTATATCGTTACTATTAAATTCAGCACACGATTCCATACCTACGATATCACTTTGCGCGAAGTGCAACTCAGGCATAATACCGAACAAATGAAGAAATAAGATAAGAAACCAAAATGAAATAAAATGCCTCCTACTGTCAGCTATTTTCAAATCGATTATTATAATCTTTCACTCTATTTTTTAAGTCGGCATCCTTGGAAGGAAATACATTTCGTTAGGGCCACATGGTAAATAATCATTCCTATTTCAATAGCGGTTGTAATTTGACCTATACCTTTTGTCATCAAAATCTTGGCGTGAGCGATCATACTTTACTGGAGGAGGCCGAGCCTGCTCTACACTCCTCCTGTTAAGCTCCTTCAATTGACTGGTTCGTTTCTTGAATCCAATGTAATCAAAGTCTGGGGATCCATACTTGGCGTACCCTGCGCTGGAAGGCTGATGGCGCACTCCACGGTTTCCTCCTTTGTATTCGTTGTAGTGTGAAGGCATCGGAGGATCGCGCTTCGGAGGAGGAGGTCGTGTCGATGTAGATGGCGGAAGAGCTCGTGCCATCTCATTCATATTGTAACGGTGGAGGCCGTAGTCAGGAGTTCGGTAGTTAGACTTGCCGTTTTCAATTGGATACTTTCTAGGCGGTTGATAGGTTCTGCCGCCTTTTGGCTGCTCTCTGCGACGCTGCGTTTGGTACACGTCTTCCTCTGCTGACGAGTAGCCGTACTCGATATCATCATGAAATCTCTGACGACCTTGATAATACCTTGGAGATTGAGGGTTGCCTCTATCATACTCTCTTTCAGGATAGTAATCTCGGTATTCTTCATCGTAGCTTGGGTGCGACACATAGCGTTCCAGCTCACGCCCTGAGTACTGATCATTCACAGGACTCCGGTCATAGTACTCGGCATCTTGATGATAGCCACTGGGGTACTGACCTCTTTGGCCACCGAGTTGAGTTTGCCTTGGTTCATAATACGCTGCTGGTGCCACGTCTTGCAGGTTGCGACTAGAAACCTTAGGATCCGCGTAACCGGAATAACCTTGCGCGGGTTCTTGGTCATACTGATACTGACTTCGTGGGGGCAACATAGCGTTCGATGCTGCTCCTCCATAATGTTGGTCACTGCGAGGGTCGTACCGCCCAACATCTTGCTCATCGAACGTAAAATGTCTGGCTTCTTGATCGTAAGCTGCGTAGTTGGTGTGGTATGGAGGACTGGCTGGTGAAAGATCAGCAGGGGCGGGGTGGTAAGGAGGGTTGGATGTGGCTGGTGGATGAGCAGTGTGGCCGGCGTGGTTAGGATGGTTGGCTGATGCTGGTGGTAGAACAGTATGGCCGGCGTGGTTAGGATGGTTGGCTGATGCTGGTGGAAGAGCAGTATGGCCGGCGTGGTTAGGATTGTTAGATGTGGCAGGTGGAAGAGCTGTATGGCCGGCGTATTTAGGATGGTTGGCTGTGGATGGTGGAAGAGCAGTGTAGCCGGCAGCAGGCTGTTGCTGGGGGTAAGCTTGGGTTGGATAAGGACGTTCTGGGTTAGCCTGATACTGCATCTTGTGAAGTGGTGTGTGTAGAACTTACACTGACCTGTAATACGTATACGGTGATTAAGAGAAGAATTCAACTACTCATTGTTTAAAAAATTTGCATTTGTTTGTTAGCAAAGGTTCATTCTCGGCTCAGTCAATCGAGCAAAACTGAAAACCTACTTTATTACTGTTTTTTCAATGAAAAGCCCATTAAATATTCAACTCACCCTTAGGTGATTAGTTATGGTAATTAACGTTATTCCGACGACTCAATTTTACGTCTAGTCTACGTCAAGATTTTTCTTGAATGAACATTTTTAACGTCAGAGTTGCATAAAATGAGTTGACATTATACTTAAAGCTGACGCCTTGACAAAGATGAGTCAACTTATGGGAATTATTTTCTTTTAGATGCCTATTCTTCCATATTCGACTTAATTTGAATTTACTCATAAAAAAACTGGCAACATTGATTGGATTACAAAGAATGCATGAAAAAATTAGACTTTGAATAGGGTGAACAAATACTGTACAAAAATTTCCACTTAGAAATTATTTCAGCATTTGACAACATTTTACAGCCTTGTTACTTTCAAGATTAAATTTTAATAACCAAGTTCAATCCTTCCGACGCATGGAATATGTGAGCAAATGAAGAAGTCCAACTACCTTTGTAGATTACATGACTAAAATCTTCGCAATATATTTACGCTTGTGATTCAGTTTCAAAGTTATATCTGCAGTTTTATTACTTTACTGTTTTCTCTTTAAATAATTTCCCAGTAATACTCGTAATTACCTGCTGCCAATTTACAAATCGACTATCTGAATAGAAACAAAATCAAGACGAATTGAACCAATTTTACACTTATGCGCGACAATTTATCTGCTCCTCCACGAACTATTTTCATGCACAATCGTCACAATTGATGGATAAATATTACTACTACACAAAATAGTTTGTTCATTCAAATGTTTAAACTCATTTCCCATTCATTATCTCGCCTTCATTTCCCATTCATTCGCCCATTGAATTCATTTCTAGTAGAAATAATGACGTAGGAAAGTAAGGAAAATAATTAAATCGATACTTTTAGTAATATGATATTACATAATAAATTCAACCTGCGAGCCCACCCAGCGAAAAGAAAAACATTCTTTTCACCTTGAAATCATCACGGCGAACACTCAACGAAATAGAAGTTTGTTAATGAATTACACGGCATCGTTACATTCTAATTTCCAAATCGAGGAAGAATGCCATAAAACATTGAAACTTTTACAAGAACTGGGTTAACTGATGAGTTGCACCAACAAAGGACCATCAACGTAAACTAACCGACGACACAATTTTGATTAACTGAGTTCAAAGGAATTTAGATGAGAGCCGCACTATCAAAACTGGCCTATAAGTACGTATAGCGGCCTATAAGTACTCGTAACGGCCTGAGTGCACGTATAGCGGCCTGAATACATGTAGCGGTCAAAGTACACGTAGCGGCCTGAGTACACGTAACGGCCGATTCTCGTCTGTGATTCGTGGGTTTATCTTGAAAATTAATCAGTAATTGGCTGAAGGAGTTATGAACAATAACTATTTTGCATTTTGCGGCCGGAAAAGTATAGATCGCATTAGAGAAACTCACCTGTGGCGAATGTCCCGACCACCGATGAGGTCTGCACGCTATCAGCCCCTGCACTACACTCCCCTTTGCAAGACTCGATAGCCTGCTGATAACGCCAGGGCAGCTCTTATCGCTTCTTATCACTAACTATCCATACGCCTCGTAATGCTTACCTCACTGATAGCACTTAATTCAATCAAGTGGGATTTCTTCATTACTTTCGTAGCATAAATTTCCTCCTAGCTCTCAATGTGATTTTGAAGAGAAGTTAAATTCTACTCAGTTCCGTTTAAAGGTTGACGCAGGACTCGCGAAAAATTGTCGGGCATCGAATTATTTATGAATTTTTTTCTAAAATCTCGTTATTTATAGTTGCGCTTTCTACTTTAAGTCACCTACTAATGACGTGGCATGCATAATATTATAAGTAATCACTACATTTATTCCGGAAGATGAGATCTAATATCTGACTTTGAATGCATGAAGATTGACATCTCATGTGGCTGGAGGAAAATTTGCACGCAAGTACGATCTGAGAATAGTCAGAGCTGGGCAGCGCTACTTTGAAATGTAGCGGCCGCTACCGCTACATGCTCTAAATGTAGCGGGCGCTACCGCTTCCGCTACAATTACTTAAATGTAGCACCGCTACCGCTACTGAAAATGTAGCGGCCGCTACAGGTAGCGCGCTACTGCTCACCTCTGGCTAACAACTAACATGTTGACACTAGTAACAGGCTGAGGTTGACAACATTACACCGAAATCTTTCGTACAGTTTTATTCTGTAATTTATATTATGTATATATCATGCTGGTTCTTAAATAATATATAATACTATTAAGTAAAATCTAAAGGCTTTATCTATAAATGTAGCGGTAGCGATGTAGCGGCAAAACCTCGTATCGCTACTTGAATATGTAGCGGGCGCTACCGCTACCGCTACAATTGCGTAAATGTAGCCCGCTAGCGCTACTGAAAATGTAGCGGCCGCTACATGTAGCGCGCTACTGCCCACCTCTGAGAATACTCGAAATATCCACAAATGTTAGATACATGTCAATCGAAAATATCTTCTCTTAAAGCTACTAATTTCTGCGACCGACATCGTTCTTATTTGTGTTCTATTATTTAAACTTGATTGACTATTCATCCTTTTAAGCGGAAGTTGCTTTTAAATCCGTACTTGAAGAGCTATGTAGATAATAAAGTCCATTAATGGAGAAGGGCCAAGATAACGGCCATCGTAAAATTAATTATGTCTTAGTAAAATAATCTGTATTCTGATAGTCTGTAGTTTTACTGCGTAACCAGGAGAGCTCTTCACATGAACAATTTTTTTCTATAAAGCAGTTGCCTCGTTTGCAGTACTAAAATCACATGAAAAATTATTGGGAGAGTATCGTTAACGAATTAATTAAATGATGCATAGTATGTAATTAGTTCCATAAATAGTAATTTCGAGCACACTCATATTTTTCAAGGTGAAAAACGATCTGTAGAGATTAATCCAAGGAATTGAAACAAGTTTTTGTTCATTTGCCGATTAACTAACTATGCAAGTATATAAGTTTGCGAGAATTTTTTTAATCCTTGTTGGGAAATATTTTCAAGAGTTGTGGTTTCGGGATGTCGAGCAATGAACTGAGAATATAGTCTCGGTAATAATACTTTAATTTGTAATATGTTTGACTATTTGATGGTCTTCCGATGACATTTCAAAGTATATGGTATCCTTACATTCGATTTAAAACTGCTGAACTTCACAGGCATGAAAAACAAAGAGATGTTAGTCATTAGAAACAGCCTAATTTATGGCTCAAACCAAGGAAAGTTTAAAACTCCAAATTATGTTATGGTATTTTTACTACACTGCCACAATTATCAATAAAATGATCAGCAAAAACCTAAGTCCTTTGTTCGGACGTTCAAATTGCATATAATTTCGTACTAAAAATCCAATCCACACAGACACAATACACCGGACAGAAATACACGGAGTCGGCGATTTACTTTAATATACAGAGACGTATTCAAAATAATTATTGCGAGTTAAAACTTTGTCTAAATTAAGTCACTATATTGAGAGGTGTAAAGCAGGGTTTATTGGAGCTGCAAGTGTGAGCGTAGTCGAGTTGGAGATCACCATTACTCATAGGGAGAGACCATATAAGTTTCGAGATCTCGACCAGCCCCCAATAGCGACTGTCACCAACTCAATACAGAGGCAAGTTTTTTCTGCGGTCTTATGAACGCATATAGAACCGTGCAGCTCTGAGACGAGCTGCGATAGCCATTAAAGCCTCAAGTGCATGAGACGGCACGTCTTGGTATCCCGGATAAATTTGGATCGTGTTAATCGAACAGCAGAAAATCTTGTTAATCTAATAGCAGAAAATCTTGTTAATCGAGCAGCAGAAAATCGAAAATCTTGTTAATCGAACAGCAGAAATTTTTGTTAATCGAACAGCAGAAATTTTTGTTAATCGAACAGCAGAAAATCTTGTTAATCGAACAGCAGAAAATCTCGTTAGTGGAACATCAGAAAATCTTTTAATCTAACAGCAGAAAATCTTGTTAATCTAACAGCAGAAAATCTCAATAATCGAACAGCAGAAAATCTCAATAATCGAACAGCAGAAAATCTTGTTAATCGAAAAGCAGAAAACCTTGTTAACCGGTCTTCAGAAAATCATATTAATCAAATTTCAAAAAATTATGTTAACCAAATTTTCAGAAATTTTTGTAATCGATCCTACAGAAAATCGAACATTCAAAAAATCTTGTGAACCGAACTGCAGAAAACCATATCAGAGACGCTCGGTTATTCCCATCGTACCCTCAAGATTGAGACGACCTCTCATTCCGCCTCGAAACTTTTGCAAAGCGCAATCATTCACGTTGACAAATGACGAACTGATTTTCGAAAGTTCGAATTACACACACAGAAAGATGAGTGGTGGTCGCCAATTTATGCACTCATTACCTCATATCTGGGTCGTTTTGACCCAGTTTTTGGTAAAAGAACGTATCTATGTTACGTCCGCTCTCTGCTCGTGCTATTGGTATGAAAGCGCGTTACAATTTGTCCAATATGACCTATCCATTCTTTTGAGTGCACGCTTAGAAATTTGAGGTTAAGCATTAATAATGTCTCCCAATACTCGCCTTAAATCAAGCTGACCGTACACCAATGATTATTATGAGTATTTTTGGCTCAATTTAATCTCTAACTTTTTTGTCACTAGCGTTATCAAAACCAAATCTTCGCACTGATTATCTCGGCACAAACCATTGTTCTTTCTCCTAATAATACTCAATAAACACGGCACATGCATACAGTAACAAGGTTTCAAAATAATGGCATCTTTTATCAATCGTTCTATTATTAAAAAAATTGAAATCACGATTCATCTGAAGGCCAAATCAATACACGCAAGCTCATGGTGCTTAGCGGACTGGAGAAGCGTACATAGCTTTAATCTTATTACATCATGATTGCCTCGGAATCATAATGAGCTTGAAGGCTAGAATTATGAAATCTAACCGTTATGTTCGGGACAGTTTTATCCAGAACATCACATAAGACTTAAAATTAGGACTTAAAATTAAGCATAAGACTTAAAAAGAGACATAAGATTTAAAAGAGGACATAAGACTTAAAATTAAGCTAATAATAATAAGACTAAAGAACAAGGAACACGTGTACGAAGCTCATGCCACGTATCTCGGCAAGCAGGGCGCTATAACAAGGAAGCAATCGCTCAGGGTGGAAAAAACCTGTCGTCAGTCGCCGCTGCCGCCGTCCACTTGAACGCTGTTCTGCCTTCAGTGCTTGGGAGCCGTGAGCGCTCGGTGATGTATTGCATCCATGAGCAATGGATGTATTGCATCCATGAGCAGTGGATGTATTGCATCCATGAGCAATGGATGTATTGCATCCATGAGCAATGGATGTATTGCATCCATGAGCGATGAATGCACTGCATCCATGAGCCATGGATGTATTGCAATCCTTGAACAATGGATGTATTCGTGTCACGTCCACCGTCATGAGCGAGATAGAGCTAAAACGGTATAACAGATTGCTTCATACATTATAATATATTACTTAATATACTGTACAATAGATTGTTCCATACTGTATCTGTATAGGAGATTGCTTCATACAGTACATTATAAATTATTTATTTATTTTATTTTAGATTAGATTTTATAGATACAGTAATAGATTGTTTCATATCATATGATATACCATATCATATCATAGTGATATGGGCGCTGAAGAATAGGCCTGATGTGGCCTGTCGCCGATTCTTGTTCTTTTCATGACTTGTCCACAGGTGATCTTAGAAACAAGTTTTTTGACCGAATCTTTTCCAAACTTGCGATAGTTTGAAATAGCTACTAGACATCCACCGGGTCGATATGGTGCTAGTCATTTAAGTCTGAACATATATTTCTCCATAGCTTTATCTAGTCTGTTCTTGAACGCGTTCATACTCGGAGCGCCAACGATGTCATTGGGGAGGCTGTTCCACGTGTCGGTGATTCGAAGCGAGAAGAGTTGCGTCGATGAGTGTGCAACGAAGTTTTTTAGTTTATAGCCGTGGCCCCTGGTGTTGATTCTTATTTCAAATTCTAGTAATCCTTCTATGACCTTGTATAAGCCATGAATATACTCATATATTTCAATGAGGTCCCCACGCAGACGTCGATAACAGAGGCTTGGAAGCTTCATAATCTTTGATCTTTCTTCGCAAGATTTGCCATTCAAGCTTGGAATTATCCTTGTAGCAAATCAGTGAGCACACTCTGCTACATTTTTGTTCTTTTCACACTGTATAATAGATTCAGACTCACTGCTTCATACTCGACAGAAGATAGAAAAATATAATGGTAAGTTAAAGATGAGCCTTGTGTTTAAATTATATGACAAGCAGGCAGGGTCTTAAGTAACTTTTCATTAACTTATGCGAAAAAATTCTTGAAGATTAGGCACAGAAAATTTGTCAAGCAAAATTATCTCGACGAGTAACACTTCGTCTACACAAATAAAATCATATATTTTGTTGGTCTTCAGGTTAGCCTAAAATTATCCGCTAAAATGACACTGAGCGCAGGCGTTGCATCGTTAACGGCAATCAAAGCAAACAAGCAAGCAAGCTGGAGATGTGCACTGTAAATATACGGTCCCTGCATTGAACGCACCAAAATAGCTACGCCATAACATCATTAGTAAAACATCGTAACATCAAGAGTAAAACATCGTAATATCACGAGTAAAACATCATAACAGCAAGAGCAAAACATCACAACATCATGAGCAAAACATCGTAACATCATGAGTAAAACATCATAACATCATAACATCATGAGTAAAACATCGCAACATCATGAGTAAAACATCGTAGCATCATGAGTAAAACATAATAACATCATGAGTAAAACATCATAACATCAAGAGTAAAACATCATAATATCATGAGTAAAACATCATAACATCATGAGTAAAAAATCATAACATCATGAGTAAAACATCATAACATCATGAGTAAAACATCATAACATCATGAGTAAAACATCGTAACATCATGAGTAAAACATCATAACATCATGAGTAAAACATCATAACATCATGAGTAAAACATCATAACATCAAGAGTAAAACATCATAATATCATGAGTAAAACATCGTAGTATCATGAGTAAAACATCATAACATCATGAGTAAAACATCGTAGTATCATGAGTAAAACATAATAACATCATGAGTAAAACATAATAACATCATGAGTAAAACATCATAACATCATGAGTAAAACATCATAACATCATGAGTAAAACATCATAACATCAAGAGCAAAACATTGTAACATCATGAGTAAAACAACGTAACATCATGAGTAAAACATCATAACATCATGAGTAAATCATCATAACATCATGAGTAAAACATCGTATCATCATGGGTAAAACATTGTAACATCATTAGGTTTAAGACAACGCATGAGCCTAATGAAAGAAGTTGACATCAGACATGAATGTTCATATGTTGTACATCATTAAAAATTTATGGCGTTACCGCTTATAGTTGCTTCATTTTGCTCGGTAATTGAAAGCATGTGATAAATTTAAACTTTAGTGTAAGCAATTAGCGCCAACGCGCTCACATGTAATTCAGACTGCGTATTCTTCTGCCGAATGCCCAAGTCTGTTCAGTGATCAAGAATGGACGCTGAAAAGAATGTTCGGCCAATATCCCTGGTTGCTCCTCCATGCCAATCTGGAATACCACACGACAGACGGGATTAATTAACATTACATAACATAGNACGAGTAAGCTTCAGGCACCTGACAGAAGCTTCAGGCACCCGGCAGGCACCCGACGGAAATCAGAGCATAATACATGCAAGCTTCAGGCACATGACGAGTAAGCTTCAGGCACCTGACAGAAGCTTCAGGCACCCGGCAGGCACCCGACGGAAATCAGAGCATAATCTCAGCCGAGCCAGGGCCTTTAATAATAATAATAATAGTAGCGGTTTCAGCGTTTATTAGGCCGTAGGCCTGTCGCCGATTCTGGACATCGCAGAACATTCACAGCATTTTACGGTCTCGAACTCGCAACTCACTGCTACAGTTCTGCTGTGATTAACCGCGTGGCCTCCTCGCCGATTCTGACGAGAAAGTGGTGCACAGAGCTGGGATCGAACCCGCGCCTCTCTGCGCTAATCCTGATAGCTACTCTGAACTTCAACCACTGGGCCACCCTGCCTTTGAAAATCGACAATAAAATAATAGATAAACATCAATTAATAGCAAAAGTTATTTGGCCTTTTGAAGAAATTTAATTCTTTTATGCAAACGCTTAGGTGATGGTAGTTCAGAATTTCGTGGTAGAGCTTGCAATTAGTAAAATTAGGATGTTTTTACCAACGATTGACTGACAGTAACATCATTTTCCATTTCATGAAGTGAAACCTACTCATATGCGACCCGAAATTAGTTTTCATTCGCACGAGAATATTTTGGAAGGCATTATTATGTTTCGGCGTATAAATTTATTCAACACACAGCTGAGTCTGACCCTTCGAAATGCAAAGCTTGTCTAACAGTCCATTGAGAAATTTTGTATTCGGTAATTTCCTAGTATTTGAGTACATGCAGGTCGAATATCTGTGGAAATCGTAAGAGCCTCGCATAACATTAGTAGCAGCCTGCAGAGACTTATCAAAGGCCTCTATAAGTGCTGCATTACAATCAGAATGCAGATAACACGCCATTCGTTGATTTACCTGTCATTGATAGCCTCAGAACGCCGGGCTTAAGTCAGTCAAGCACATATGTAGGTTGTCGGACGTGGCAAGCACACTTATATTAATAAATATTTAACAAGGCTAGCGCCAATCAAGCCAGTTTATGATGTGCATCTTTGTTCCGGTTCTGCGATCGCTATAAGACGAGTCGTCAAGTACAAAATGCAATCTGATGCATAATAATAAACCGCCATAAGGGTGGGAACGAGCAGATGTGACGCGCAACACCTAACTACCTCACCACACTCGCCGTCTGTATGGCAATGCTCTCAAATGAACCCTTAATTAAGACATAAATATAAGCGGCTCGCGTAAAGCAGTTAAAACCGGAGAAATAATAGTTTAGTGACCCTATGATTACTAGCGCTTCAGCTGCTAGGAGAAATAATATTCCTTAGTTGCTTTATTCGGAAATAAGACCAAGCACTTGACATTTTTGACCGAACTACCACGGTAAAAATCAGGCACAATGAATTCTCCAGTGAGCAAAAGACAGACTTTGATTTCATATTTGACATTCTTATTTAAAATATTAATTACTTTTTCATTATAGCAAAGTGTCAGGAGCAAATGCTACAAATCAACTCGTACGCATAAACGTAAACAGGGCCAATATTGCTTCACATATGTCAGGAAGAGCGCAGCAAAGTTCAGACCTCCTGGTATGTCGGGTAGAACAGGCGTCGTTCAAGACGAACGTCGCAAACCATTAGGTTATATAACGGTTTTTCATGGTTTTAAGCAATGGAAGGGAATATCTCAAACAAACACTACAATATTTCAATGTTTACTAAACACATTCACACTGCACAATAATTGATTTCAGGCACCTGGCAGATGCATGCTTCAGGCACCTGGCAGATGCATGCTTCAGGCACCTGGCAGAAGCTCAGCCGAGCTACAGCATATGACAATCAACAATAAAAAAATAGATGAAGATGGGTTATAGTCAAAGTGATTACACCTTTTTAATAAATCGAACATTTTATATTCAATAAATCAAAATATTGCGCTTGGGTGACGATAGTTCACAATTGTTCAAAACTTCGTGGTAGAGCTTGCAGTTTGTAAAATTTAGTTGATTTTTTTGACCAACAATTGACTGACCGATAACATCATTTTCTACTACATAAAGTGAAACCTACTCATATGCAACCCGAAATATGTTTTCATTCGCATGAAAATATTTTGGGAAGCATTTTCATGTTTCGGCGTATACATTTATTTAACACAGCGACACGACGAAATGCAAAGCTTGTCTAACAATACATTGAGAAATTTTGTATTCGGCAATTTCCTAGTATTTGAGTACATGCAGGCCGAATATCTGTGGAAATCGTCCAAGCCTCGCATAACATTAGTAGCAGCCTGCAGAGACTTATCAAAGGCCTCTATAAGTGCTGCATTACAATCAGAATGCAGATAACACGCCATTCGTTGATTTACCTGTCATTGATAGCCTCAGAACGCCGGGCTTAAGTCAGNTTAAAATATTAAATAAGTTTTCATTATCGCAAAGTGTCAGGAGCAAATACTACAAATCAACTTGTACGCAGAAACGTAAACAGGGAGAATACTGCTTCACATATGTCTGGAAGAGCGCAGCAAAGTTCAGACATCTTGGTACGTCGGGTAGAACAGGCGTCGTTCAAGACGAACGTCGCAAACCATTAGGTTATATAACGGTTTTCATGGTTTTAAGCAATGGAAGGGAATATCTCAAACAAACACTACAATATTTCAATGTTTACTAAACACATTCACACTGCACAATAATTGATACAAAAAGTATCGAAAGAAAATTATGATCGTTCTTGCATTGTATACATACGTAGTTTGCCCATAAATTCCGGAAAAAATATTTGCTAGAGTCGCAACGATGAGAGAAAAATGCCAGCTTTGTCACAATTAAGCATCAGGCGCATACGAGTTACGTCAATTATTTACAAAAGCACGTGATCGAGTATAGCATAATTAATTGAATTGGAAGACGTTATTAACAACTACTGAAGTCAAACGTCCGTTAAATATTCAGATCTGGATGGAAAGTAGGCTCAGCTGAAACACATAAAACAACTCTTAATGAATTTTTAATACGCATACACTAATGTGAACGAACTTCAAAGATTTTTGAGTACCGAACTGTTCGGCACTATAAACAGTTTATTAGACACACTTTGGCCTTGCCGCGTAAATCACTACTGTGATAAGCAGCGATATTGATCTTGCGTATTGCCTCGTAAATGTTCCTATTAATCCTATATGTCTTACCACAATCTCGTTCTACGAAGTCATTATGACTCAGACAGGAAATCATACAAGAATTAGAAAACAATCCAGAGACATGATCCCAACTTGAAATATTTTACGGTCGATTACAACGATATTATATCAAGTTTTTCCGATTAATGATAAGTTCTAAACTCATTCATAAAGTACACGAGCACTTGGCGAGGTTATTTGAATAAACGAGCATTGGGTTACACGTGCTCTTAGCTGATAGTAGTTTATTTAACACAGGCTTAGATAAACACAGATAAATCTAGAACTTTCTATATTTATCTAGAAAGTTTCTAGCTCATTTTCATGCACACTGCTCAAAGTTTTAACGAAACAGAATCGAGTTAAAAGAATTCATCTGATGACGGTTTTTGGCCAGCCACAACGAAAAACTTTAATGCTATTATATATTGAAGGCAGCAGGTTCAAAATTGCTGACATAATCCGAAAGAAAAATTAATTTACTAATACAAAATTTGAAAACACAAGAAATTCCAACAATTAGGTGCCGGGTGACCTATGTGAAATGGTTGCACAATTTTTGATGGATATTGTACGCAAACTGAGTGATTAAATAAAACAAAAATTTATACAACCATTAGGCCCTTAGCAAGCCAGCCAAAGAGATAAGATATCTCATCGTAAAATTACGTCAGGATTACATAGCATAGAACTACAGATAAGATTAAGTACGAAACGAGAATACAAAAAAAAAGTGTGTACATACGAGAACACAATACTAATTAAATTAACATGCGGATTAGAGTACAACGCCTGCAGCACTTAAAGTAAAGACAACGTCTCACAGAATTATCAATGGTAGTAATTTAATGTCGTAAAAGCAATTTCAGTAATACAAAGAGCTCCATAAATAAAGCTCCATGTGATACAAAGAGCTCCATGTGATATCAATATAGTAGTGATTTTTATTCAATTCGCTTCAAATTTGAGCATCCCCTACCCGACACTGCCAGTTTTATTGGTAATCAGCCAACCATTTTACGCAATCGTTCCTCAAGCGCAGAGTACTTTTGTTTTTCATGAGCGATTGAACACAACAGCGACGTGTCTGAATCTGCATCCTCATTTTCGGAGCAATTGTCTTGCTGTTCGCCGTCGTTAGTTTGAAAGAGAGTCACAAGAGGAACGTCATCTCTGTCTTCAATCAGCTCTTTCAAATGGGTTTCTAACTTTACAGTGAGGTCGAGTTCTTTCTGGAAGAGAGACACAGTCGCCAAGTCTGGCTTAGCCTTCTTTGACACTGTCGATTCTTCTTCTGAGTTCAAGGCTTTACGTTTTGACGCTGACAGCTGAGACAGCAAAGTTTTCATCGGAACAAGGTGTGACAAAAACCAATCATTGCCACAAACATAGTTGTCAATTTCCTCGCTACAGCAAACTACATCAACATCAGGAAGTTTGCCTACCTTATGGATGATCAGGGAACTGTAAATGTTCTTCCAAGGTAGCAAAACTTCACTTTGCAGAGTATCGCTGTCATCAACGCTGTACTTCTCAACGACAAATTGTTTAGCTTGGTTTATTTGGAATTTAATATCTTCAATTAAGCCGGCTTCAGGAGAGGACGGGCCAACACTAAATTCAAACTTAATGTACGTTAGCAGTCCCTCTAAGGCACCCGACCACGTGCTCCATGAATGACTGGGTATGGCGGAGAGTTGACAGAGTTCCAATGCATCAGACATGGTGCGGCGTAGTGGTTCATCCACCATTCGTATCACGTGTTCCTGGGTGTCAGGGCAAACCACTTGCCACTGCAGGCCACGCAATCGTTCGTCTAGCAAAGTATCTTGGAGGAACAACAGCGCGCGGTGATACAGAAGGTGGTAGCAGTGTGCAGGCAGAGGAGCGTAGCAAAGCTCTGCACAATATCGTTCAGTCTCAGCTGCCACTTCGAGCACATGCTTTGAAATGAAACTAGACACAATCTGAGGTAAGCGACCTCGGAGAAGTTTGCGTACAGGAGTGCTGTTCTTATACAATTCCAGTAGACTGTGCTTGAGCCCCAAAGACGTGTGGGGAGAAGAACAATCTCTTCTATTCACAACAAATGATTTGCTATTTGGAGAATTTATTTGAGCTCTAGCCATTGAAGTTGGCGCTTCTGTTTTACTTGAGTTTACGACATAGAGAATGCTAGAGACGCCTGATATGCGAGAAATATTGCTGAGCTTGGACTCGACAATCTGAATGATGTGGTGGGTATGAGTAGTCGGAGAGAAGATTTTGTATGAACAGTTAATGGGAACGGGATTGTAGTTGCCTGTTGGGTTGAACTTCTTGCGAAACCAGATGGCAACAAATTCATCGACATCGTCAAGGAAGCACACAACTAATGTGAAAAACTTTGGTTTAGAAGAACGTGGAACATTTTTGGAGTCTATGAACTGCTGGAACGAAGACTGGACTGGTAAAGGAGCGTTGCAGATGCCAGCAGATAAATTTTGCAGCAAGTCAATTTTGTGTTGATTTTGCTGCCACTTTTGCTCGATGTCATGCAGGCGCGTGTACGGGCATTTGAGGCTGGCACAATGGAAGGCCCAAACGTCGTTCTGTTCTGTCACTGATAGACGACTCGGAGCTGCGGGGAACCCGTCACCCAAACGCATCTTGTGCCACTTCCTCTTCTTGCTGTTCTTCAACCAAAGATTAAAATACTTGTATGACAAAGCATCTCTTCTCCGTTGTGTATTCTTCTTGGTCAACTTGGCAATAGTCGCTGCACGGCGCCACCTAACAAAGCAACGTTTGACGCGCATGGAACTCAGCTTATGGCGCACGGTCTGCTGAAGATGCTTCGATAATTTTCGGCGAGCGACGAACAGTCGCCATTTCCTGAGAACACAGCGGCACAAGAGGCGCTCCTCCATCGCCCGAATCTTCCTGCTGACAGAGACAACTTGCAGCCACCTGCTGAAATATTGCTGCCGTAACTTGCGTGTGCGGAAATCCCTGACTTTTTCTTCATTGCTGTAATCAGGAGCTTCACCAAGAATTGAACTGACTGCATCATCCACGACTTTAGTGTCAGCCATCTCGCCAAACATGTTCTGATGAACGCTATTGAAAGCGTCTAACGAAGGTTCCTCATAATTGTCATCTACTAGAATAGCTCCTGGCACACCAGCATCATTGTCTTCAGCCTCATAGCCTTCATCTTCATCGTAAACTTCATCGCCATCATCAGGTAGCCCACTATAATCATCCGCATTGCATTGAGGAAAAGTATTTTCGGCACGGTTATCAGATTCATCAGGAGAATCAAAGTACTCTTCATTAGTATAAAAATCGTTCGAGTCAGGAGCCTGAGAATCTTGATCGTCCCCGAAATGAGCTGGAATGTCAGCGTCATTTTTTATTTCATGGGAACGCGGTGAAGAAACGTCTTTATAAACATATTCAGATATCTCATTATTATCACTCAATTCATCTAACGTGCGATTTGACACGGGACGACTAACAGCATGTTCCTTCACTTCGTCTCTGAAGGCAGTTTCTAGAAGGAAATTGTCAGCAGAAAAGCTACTGCAAGGCTCATGAGACAAGAGAGGGTTAGGAGGCAAGGGCCCACCGTTGATTTCCTCCCCTAAGCTGCCTTCTTTCTTTCCACCCACGATGAGATAAGCTCGACTCAAGGGTGCAGCTTCCATGGGGCGTGGAATGAAAGACTTGCGGTCCAGAACAACGCGCCCAGACGCATTTATGCAGAGGCCGTGATGTGCAAGAAATGCTGCAGCTTCAGTGGTGTTCTCAAACAGTAGCAGATGGCATAATTTGGCAAGAGAAATGGACTGGGATTTGCTGGGGGCATTCAAAGCTTTAGTAAGGATGACAAGCGCTTTAGACCGAATTCTGTTGAAATATTTGTGTAGAATACAAGACTGAAGAAATGTAGCCTTCTTGACAAGTCGGAAAAATCTCACGAAGTTGTTGCTCTGGACTGCATGAAGAATCTCAACGGCAAACTGAACTTCAGGTGATTTTCTGACAGAATCGCGGAAATGTAAGTAGGCAAACATAATGTTGCCGTCGTCAACGTCGAGCAGAATTTCATAAGCCCTAAATTCAGCTTCAGAATCAACATATATAGAATTCTCTGAGAGATCGTGGTAAAGTTCCTTGAGTGAGTGCATACTTTTGCTAAGATGCTCCGCATTCATTTTAGGATCAAATACGTCAGGCGGCTCAAGACAAAGACGCTCAGTACAGTAGATGTGGAATCTCACGCATCTCTCCAGGACATAAACAGCAGACTCGTCCAGCAGATGCTGCTGCATTATGTCGCTGCGCATTGCTCGCGTCCTGTCCCATAAATAATTGTAACACAGATCCATGTCACAATTGGAGTCATCTTCCATGTCAGGCAAGATGTTCCACATGAGGTAATCCATCGTTAGCCTCAAGACAGAACCAGGTCTCAGTTCATGTGGTAAAGGCTCGTGTTTGTCAGCGCTGCTGCGAGAGAACTTCTTCACTGCTCGCTTATGATCCACTTTGCGATCAGAAGTCATTTCGTAAGGACTGAGGTCGTACTGGACCTCTCGCATGTAACGCTCTTTCTCTGGGCACATATCTGGACATGTAGCAGACAAGTACTTTGCTTTCTTCACATCGAGAATTTTAGTTTGCTGCTTCCTTATAAGCTTATCGCGTGCCTCTAACAAAGCATACTTGTCTTGACTAGTGTTGGCTCTCACTTGTCGAAGTGCAGTAAAATTTGTCGCAGTGATGGCAGGCGTCGCCTCATCCATTGGCAGCCTAGAAGTGCTTTCAGAAGAACGGGGTGAAGGCATAAATTTTTGGAGGCTCGAGCGCGCAAGCGGTTTTTCGTCTTGTTTTGGTTTTTCTTTGAAGAGCTTGGAGGAGTCCTCACCAGCTCCCTGGGACATCCTTCTAGTTCTCTCAAGGTTATCAATAGAGTTCTGGCGTAAAAATTTAACGGCGTTGTTTTTACTTTGTCTAGCTTTGTTATCCTGCTTATCTTCTGAACGGGTTCTAATAGCTGTTCCAAAAAAAATCTGCATGTCTGGTAAATTGGGGTGTAACTTTTTACCTGATCTTTTGGCCAAAGAGGCACTCTCGTGAGAATCAAAGTTAACTTGAGCTTGATTGGCCTTCGAATGAAGAGACACTCGTAGAACGTTGCCAAATTTTCCAAAGTGAGTTTTCAATATTTTTTTATCCAAGTAACCTTCGGCGATACTTGTGCAAATTATAGTTGTTGGTTCTAATGCCTTTTTTTCCACATTACTTGCAACAGGTGTTGGCGGAGATAAAGGGATATCGAAAATATCGTCATACAAGCACGTAGGTGCATCCTCCTTTATGCCGGTAGCTACTGTCATCTTGTGGGCAGTTGGTGTCAGAATTTTGTCATCCGGCTTGGATTTTTCAAGAGTGTCACGAGAAGATGAGTTGAATGTCCCACAGATTATTCTATCTAAGTCAGTCGCAGTGGATGCATGGCTTGTAGCATCTTTAGATAGCGGCCTTGAGTCCGAAGAACCTTGCTCAGATCTGGGGTTTTCACGAGGGCTATGGTAACTGGTATTGAATAAAGCTTCACCTTGACTCAAAGTTTGTGCCTTGCTCTGTGTTGAGAAATCGCTTGGTCCAGCACCATGATCTGTGACTCTCGCGGGATGGCTGAAAGGATTCGTATTTGATGAGCTACTGGTATTTTTAGGTGGATAATTTATTGCAGCACTTGCAGGTTTAGAAGAAAATAATCCAAAAGATGAAGTTGGATGAGATTTAGACGAGGATAAAGTTTCATTACTCTGTGGCCGGATATAAGTGAAAGGGTTTGTCTTATTGTCACTAATAGAACTGGGTGCATTGCCAAACAATGAGTGTACATTGGTGACAGATTTGGAAGATGCAGAAAAGACATTCGTAGTCTTGGCTGTAGGAAGACTAACTCCTCCAAAGACAGATGGAGGGGAAGCTGCAAACAGAGAGTGAGTGTTGCTGAAAGCAGGTTTAGCCCCACCACTCATAACACTACCGAACGTTGACTGATTACTCAAGTTAGATGAGCTGGAGAAAATTGCCATGGTGGCAGGAGTAGCATCCTTTGCAGCAGCATCTGGTGGTTTAGCGAGAGCAGCTCCTCCAAATAATGAAGGTACGGTGCTGGGTGTTGATGTGGACACTCCTCCAAAAAGTTGAGAAGAAGCAATTGGTTTCTGGCCTCCAAATATGCTACCTTTGTTGCTGGAAGATTTGAGGAAGGGGTTGGTGGACTTCTTGTATGGATCCGACATGGTGATGACTCGGCACAAGAATCCTGCAATAGGTAATGAAAGTTAATGCTACACCAATTAAAAAATCGGATAATTTTGGCTCAGATCGAAATAAATTCTCATTTATTAAAAATTATAAAAAAATTCTATTTTACCATATGAATTTTTCGAGATTTAAATTTCAGTAAAAAGCCAAACAGTTGTATGTTGTTCCTCAATTAATAGTTTGAATTCAATTCAACAACAATGCTCGAAATACATAAGGGATAACATATGATTAAAATTAAGTTCATAGTAACTCCTTATCCACTGACAAACAATATTTACAAAGTCACAGAATTAATCAAACAGCAAATATTTTATCTTTTTTCTTTAAATTGTACACAGGCCAAATAGACAATATTTTCTAGGTATTGGTATGGTTCCTGCAGTTGCTTTCTTTACATGGTTTTAAATATATATGTAATTCACCCATAACTTGATCAAATCAGACTATAGAATTTAAGAACTAGGGAAGACATCAGCACAGGACAGTGGAGAAAAACTTTTGAGTGACCAATGCAAGCTAATGAACTGCAACAACAAAGTTTTACATGTTAAATACAAGTTTTACATGTTAAATACATCAGAATATATTTTAGACATCAGCACAGGACAGTGGAGAAAAACTTTTGAGTGACCAATGCAAGCTAATGAACTGCAACAACAAAATTTCACATGTTAAATACAAGTTTTACATATTAAATACATCAGAATATATTTGGTGCTCAAACTAGGCCCCATGCTTATATATACATACTAATTCAACTATGTAGCTATTGTGTCCAAGTTACCGGTAGTCATGCTGTTAGTCATACCAGTGACATGCATTGGCTTCATATGGATATCATGATATTATTCTACACTCCTAAATTTGGGAACAATACATGTACATCTCCTAAATGAGTACGGTAACATTGTCTGGTTTTGGGGGGCATTTTCAGTTTAATTTAATAAAACATAGCAGTATGAGAGAACTCAAATTCAATACAAGAATAAAAATTGACTTGAGTCTGAAAATGTCCATTGCCATTGAATTAACAAAGATTTTAAATTCAGTACTATAGTGATAAACTAATCCATCTGCAGAGTTTTAATGTTATGTGAACCAGTTAAAATGTACGCTTATTATTATAAGTGCATATTATATAATACCTGGTATAAATGACATGCACGATGAACTGAGCTAAGGTGGGAAGTTCAATAAATCACTTGTATACTTGCACATAAAATTCGTTTGCACAAATAAAAATAGAACAAGGTACTGAGCCAACCTCTGGTTTACACAACTGAAGCCAATCCAGGAGTACCTATTCAAAATTATATATATACATGCCAAGTAGCAAAAAGAAACTACAATTTGAATAAAGAAAAGAATACAAGATAATATTAAACATCAACAAGAAATAAAAATATTCAACCATAAACAAAAATGGAGCATTGTGAGCAGTCAATAAAAAGGCTTATTCCCTGTAATCTAATTTTTTTTAGCCATGGTTTTCTGCAATAGTCAGATTTGACTAAAAAATTGGTGAAAATATTGTAAGATAAAACAGACTTGATATTATGACATATTAACATGTAGACATACCTCATTCAGAGAAAACTCAAAGAGTTCAGTTCATGGCTTACACAAATGAGCAGACCTATAATGTGATCATGACATGTGCAGAGCATGACATGTGCTGAGCATGAAATGTGCTGAGCATGACATGTGATGAGCATGACATGTGCTGAGCATGACATGTGCTGAGCATGACATGTGCTGAGCATGACTGACCTTCCCAAGCATTACCACAATACACAGCACCTCCCTGATTTCACTGATTTCATGTGGTTTTCCTTCAGGAGCTTCAGTCCCTAAGCAGTGGAAATCATCAAGAAGAAAGGACCAATATTTTAGACCAGACCAGAAAATTACACTTACAATCAGAGTAGAAGATGCCCAAGGATTCAAGGTCTGTTCCAGGTATAATCTGAGTGATAATCAGACAGGAGACCAGCTGCAAACTGTGTTAGCCCAGCTCTACTGATTTCTCTCCAGCCAAACACATTGTACCTGCAAAAGCAAAATTAAGCAAGTGATGACATTGGATGACTCATATTAATAATTTCTTCACCCTTTAAATTAAAAATCAAAATGCTTGAAAAGGCAATTTGGAAATCAATGGTAGGAACCAAGTAATGAATATTATATACCGGTACCTACCTATATACATCAATACACAGAATAACTTATAATTTCTTACTAATGGGTAAATTTTGAAGACTTGTATATATAAAGGTACTATAAAACATATATGTATTTAAATTTTGCTGATAAGTAAAGTTTTCATGCTGACACTTGTCTGCCACTTTTTTCTAAACAAAATTTTTTAATACAGCAAATATTTTTTTTACTACAGACCTTAGCAGAAATAACTTTTCAAAATATCGTTTTTCACCATTTTTTTCAGGAATTTTTCAAAGCTAGTAAATGTAGTATTTTTTAACTTCCTTTATACTACATAGATGGGAAGAATGATGATGTTTACGCCACTATATTTAGTTTTGCAATATTCCAATTAGTTTTGCTACTAAAACAGTTTTACGCCGTGTCGGAGGACTGTCCCGAGTTACCCCCGAAAGTGTTCGAAAGTGTTTCGCGAAAGTGTTTGATAAAGTTGACCAAGGAGTGCTCTTCAGAAAATTAAGACTGCTGGGAGTTGGAGGTGAATTGCTGGCATGGATCCACAGCTTCCTAAAAGAAGACTACAAGCTGTTGTTGTAGGAGGCTCCAGATTGAGCAAGGCTAGGGTGAAGAGTGGAGTACCACAGGGAACAGTACTCGGCCCAATCCTCTTCCTCATTCACATCGCTGACATAGATGTGGCTGTGAACCACGTCACTGCATTGTCATTCGCGGATGACACCAGGATACTAATGACCATAACGGACAGGAGGGACTGGGAGAGGTAGCAAGAAGACCTCTCTGCAATATGACTGGGCCCAAGTGAACAACATGCAGTTCAACGGGACCAAGTTTGAGGTTCTGAGATACAGAGGTAGCATAGGAGCTGATATGGTGCACCGAGCTACCTAATATCTGATAACTTGGAAATCGAAGAGAAATAACTTGTTCGTGATCTAGGAGTGTTGATGAATACTCGGGTCAATTTTGCTGATCACGTAACGGCAATAACCGCAAGAGGTAGGGGACAGATGGGGTGGATCTGGCGGACTTCAGAACAAGAGAAGCGGAACCGATGATCACACTCTTTAGAGCCCTTGTAATACCAATTCTCGAATACTGCTGCCAGCTCTGGACTCTGTTCACACTCGGCACAGTGCAGCAACTGGAATGTGTCCAGCGAACCTTCACTTCCAGGATCAGAGGGATGGAAGAGAACTACAGGGAGAGGTTGAGGCGCCTGGGCCTGTACTCACTGCAGAGGAGATGGGAGAGGTATGTCATTCTGTACACATGGAAAATGATAACCGGAAAGGTGCCAAACTTCAAGAGCTAGACCTTCAGGATTGAGACATATCACAACGAGAGAAGCGGGAGACTGTGCAAGATCCTCCCATTACGTAACAGATCCGCAGTCAGATTTCAATCCCTGTGGGAAGGATCACTTTCCATGGCAGGGCCAAGGCTGTTCAGTATCCTGCCAAAGAATCTAAGAGAGGGGGAGTTCACCCTGGACACCTTCAAGAGACAACTGGACGTTTTCCAGAGCACAATTCCAGATCAACCTCCCCTGCAACACTACCAGTGGTGAAAAGCAAGCAACAGCATCATGCATCAGGTGGCCCAAATGAGGGCCGATGAACGATAATCAGAGGCGGCAAACCATTGTGGCCTGGGACTGCTATGTCCCAAACAAGTACCAAGATTACTAGACAAAAGTATCACTAGTTGCTACAGCGGCTACACAGTTGCAGTAAAATGAGTCTAAATGACTAGTGACTACAAATCTCCAATATATTCGATCACTAAAATAAATCAATTACTAATTATACATGGAATCAGGAATGATCACTATTCACGAATAAATATTACTTACTAAGTTACTATGCTTAGAAAATCAAGACTAGTTTAGTCAGTTACCGGTATCAGTAATCCACTCAAGGAGAAACTGGAGATCGGAGTAAGAACAGCACTTAGCAGTCAGCACACTTCAAAACTTTTACGTGAATTAATTATGCGCCAGGCGCGGACTACAGATGTAACAGACTATAAACAAAGGACGATAAGGTAGACAACACAAAGCGAAGATAATATTAATATAAATTTAAGGCTTGCAACTGAATTTAAGGCTTGCGACTGAATTTAAGGCTTTCAACCCTTTTAACGCGTGCAAAATTATTTTTTAAGTGTTGTCTACCTTATCGTCCTTTGTTTATAGTCTGTTACATCTGTAGTCCGCGACTGGTGCATAATTAATTCACGTAACAGTTTTGAAGTGTGTTGACTGCTAAGTGCTGTTCTTACTCCGATCTCCAGTTTCTCCTTGAGTGGATTACTGATAACTGACTAAACTAGTCTTGATTTTCTGAGCATAGTCTATCTTAAACGTGACAAAGCAGAGAGTTTTAAAGACTCGTGGCAAAGCAGAGAGTTTTTTAGACTCTCCCTCATGTTCATTTACAAGTCCAATAAGTAGACCAGTAAAGCATCCTGGGGTAATACTTTAGATTAGGTGCATCCAAAAAAAGGGAGTTTTTTATATGTTTTTTGCATGTAGATCAAGAATCTGAAATCCCTTTTTGGCGGTCGCTGGTCGGCATCAGAAATTTTTAATGGAACCTGTTCCTAACTGGACCTAACCTGCAACTGCAAGGTTTTCATTGATTGGCTAGGTTTTTCTGGCTGCCGGACGGACTCCAAACGTAGAAAAAATATAAGACAGACAGACATGAAAAAATATAAGACAGACAGACAGACAGACAGACAGACATAGCAAGCACAATAGTGCAATTTTTCCATAAATGAGAAAATGCCCTAAAAACCTAGCCAATCAACAAAACCTCGCAGGTTAGGTCAAGTTAGGAACAGGTTCCATTGAAAATTTCCGATACTGACACTGACAGCCATCAGCCAAGAACAGATTTCAGATTCTCAATCTACACCCCAAAAAACATATAATTAAAAAAACCCCCTTTTTTGGATGCACTTAATCTTAAGTAATACTGTAAAATGGGGTAACTTAGACCGGCGGGGTAACTTAGACCACTTTTCGTTTTTTTAACAAAAACGATGCTCGTGAACGTTGGCCGACAACTTCACAAATAACTAAGTTAAAATAATCATCACTATAAGCCAGTTAAATATGGCCATATTCAGATTCT